TGGCGGCGGCTGACGGCTCCCTCGTCCGGCCCTGGCGCGAATCCGCGCAACGCCCCGAGGAGAAGCCCTGGCGGCCCTCTGCCCCAAGCGGGCTCCGGTCAGCGCCGGGGCCCCGGAGGCGTCTGAGTCTGACCCCGGCCGCGCCGGGAGGCCGCCTTGACCCTTGAGCCGAGGGACCGCCCGGTTGTTGTGTAAGCGGCTCCGCGCGACCCGCGACGCAGCTGGCCGCGGCGCCCAGACCCGAGCTCGTTCTCAGCAAAGGGACCCCGACCCTGCCCCAGCGTGGCCAGCTGGCGGTGACCGGCCGACCCTGCACCTGACTTCGGGTCGTGGGAAATGGCGGAGTCACTCTGTCCACTTCCGAGCGCGGCTTCCATCTTCAGGTACATTCTGTGATCTGTCCAGCCTGGAGCAAGACCGAAAGTGCCGCCGGGGCAGGTCCTCCCCAAAGCCGGGAGGAAGGGGCGGTGCTTCCTTGGGGGAGTATTAGTCCCAGAGCCTAAATTCACTCTAGAAACAGCGGGATCGAGGGAAGAAAAGCCCAGCATGAGGGAAAGGGGGGTTGGGGACGTGGGTGTATGGCTTTAGGTTTCAGAAAACGGTTAACTTACAGATACTTTATAGAAAAAAGGTTAGAACTTAAGATACAGATAAATTCAGAAGTGATAATCCATCTTTTAGATGGAGATCTTTTGCTTCCAAGCTTCACTCTCCCTTTTTGTTTGTGCTTCTGGGATTATGCTGACATTACTGGAAAAGTGTGTGTTGAGTGTGCCTCAGAAGAAGACGTACATGTAGGAAACTTTGTGGAAGATGGAAGACAGATGTCTTTTGTGAAGCTTTTTGATATACAAATATACTGAGTTTAAATTATTCTTTTCTACATGTAATTGACTTCATGCACTTGTTAGTAGAAGAATAGTAATTGGTGGAAAAATTAAATTGCTGTTAAGATTTGTACTAGTTCATTTCTGTTGCTTATAACAGAAATATCTGAAACTGGGTAATTTGTAAAGAAACAATATTTATTGCTTACAGTTTCAGAGGCTGGGAAGTCCAAAGTTCAGAGAACACATCTGATGAGGGCCTTCTTTGGTGGTGGCTTCAGCGTGGCAGGGTATCACACTCAGAGAAAGGCAGAAACATGAGAGAGCTAACCTCCTCTCTGGCTCTCCTTTTAAAGCCCTCAGGACAATGCCCATGACCACCATTAAATTTACTAGAGTGTGGTCCTCACAATCTAATCACTTCTTCAAGGCCCCACCTCTCAATTACCATAATAGGATTTCCCACCTTCTTAACACTGTCACCATGGGGATCAAGCCTCAGTGAGTTTGGGGGGACAACCAACCTACAGTAAGGTTATTGCCTTATTTCTCAAGGCTAGTTATTTGTATTGAAAAGGAAATTTCTGTACTTCCCCATATGTATTTAGTATTTTGACAACAGTTCAACTTCAGATGTCTGGAGAAATTTGCATAGGAAACATAACCTAACTGATAGAATATGGAGTCCATGAAAACAAGGGTATTTGGAAAGATACCAGAGGGGAAAAATTGTGAAATATTAGAAATTAGGTTCTTCCCTTGAGTTGTTTATATGATGAATGGATCGACTATTTTGGTTTGTTGATGAACTTTCTTGTTACATTGAGGTGAGATACTGAATGCCACACAGATGCAAGTAGGAACCCAAATGGCAGCTTGTGTTCCCATCTGGTTTGTCACAACTTTTTTCGCTTGCTCTGAGACTACTTTCATGTGTACTCTTTGGTCTTGACGTTGTTGTGGGGCTTGGGGACTTGGGAGTCCAGGGCACACCGTGAAAGGGATTTATGTCTTTGGGTGATAGGTGGAGGTCATTATGGACAAACCATGAAAAATCCTTAGTAGCTGACCAGCCGAAGTCACTAGACAGAAGTGGGCCTCCCTAGTATTCTTGACAATAAACTGTGGACACTGGCAGTGTCCAGTGTCCACACTGGTATAGCCTTCTGAATTGTACCAAGCAGGCAAGCAGAAAATGCTGAGCTCCTGACCCTGTTTTGGGTGTTCCCTAAATGTGATTGTGTTAAACC